ATCTATGTATTCAGTACAAATGCTATCAAGGTCCAACTGGCTCTTTTATTTTTACAGTTAAAAAAAAAGATCTTAAAACTTACATGAAAATACAAAGATCATGGAATTGCCCAAACAATCTTGGAAAAGAAGAATGAAATTATATTACTTAATCCCCCTGATTTTGAATTCTAGAATAAAGCTACAGTAATAAAGATTTTGGAATTGGCATAAGGATAGATATATAGATCAGTGGAACAAAATTGAGAACCCATAAATACTTATCAGTTCACTTTTTGACAAATCTAATGGGGAAAAGGATTTCAAAATGCTGCTGAGAAAATTGAATATTCATTTTAAAAAGTTGATAAGGATGAGGAGACACTGGAACACTCCCACACTGTTGCGGGGCATGTGACCACCATGGAAAACAGCTTCTTTAAAAATCGAACCTAATTTACCATTTGACCCAGCAATTCCACACCTAGGTCTAGGCCAAGAGAAATCAAAAAAAATCTAAGTCCACACAAACACATCGCAAATATTCATAGCAACATTGTTCATAATTTTCAAGCTGAAAATAATCCAAATGGTGGTCCGATGGTGACCAGATATTAAAAGATATTGTAATACTAATTGGGAATTAAAAGGAACAAAGTGCTCGAGCATGCTGTAGCATGGACAGGCCCAGCCACACTGGACTACTTGAAAGAAGCCAGACAGAGAGACCACATGTTCATTGTATGGTTCTGTCTTCAGAACCAATCGCACAGAGAAAGAAAACAGTTGTTGCCTCAAGCTGTGTGGAAGTAGGGAATGGAGTAAATGTACTTCTTCTGGGGCGGTGACAAGGTCCTACCATTGGTGGTGAAAATTACACAGAAATTATTAAAAGTTGCCACGATCCCTTATTTGGGCATAAAAGTTGATTATCTCTCCCAAGCCAAAAACTAAGCATGTATATATATATTCCCTGATTTAATTTACCCTAGAGGAACTTATTTCCTTTTCAGATTTGGGTCTCTCTTAGTAAGCACTTTCCATGTCAGTTGTGTTGCATTGATATTCACAGCATCTCTCTGTGAGAGGTAGGGGTTCTTTCCCCTCTTTCCAGTAAACAGGACCTCTCAATTTTCATATTTAATTTACTTGTTGACAATTTTTAATTCTGGG